GATCAGATTTGCAAGTATGTCTCCCTAAGGGCCCAACATGCTGCTCAAGAAAGATGGAGGAAAAATACCAACTAACAGCACGATTGAACATGGAACAGCTGCTTCAGTCTGCAAGTATGGAGCTCAAGTTCTTAATTATTCAGAATGCTGCAGTTTTCCAAGGTGAGTTCTGGGGATTATTTTAGATGTGCTGCTCAATGGCATCATTATTTGGGCACTGGGCTTTCAAATGCTAAGTATAATTTATAAATTACCATTCCAGCATTAATGCTTGATATTAAAAACCTCCTAGTGAGAAATTCTGGTTTAAAAAATCACATTTTCAGAGAAGCTTCATTTCAATCTTTGGAAAGGTGAGTATTGTCAAAAAATCATTGTTCAAGGACATTCTATTTTTCTGTATATAAAGGTTATAAATCTCTACAGAAAGAATAAATAATATTTTATCTCAGCTGGGTTCAAAAGCAAAAAAGTTTCCTTAAATACTGAGCCTGGTTTTCTCCAGGAATGAGTCAGATGCTTGTGGGACACATGTGAACTCCTTCTGACCACTAGGACCATTTCCATTTAAGAGGCAGACACTGGCTTATTGGCCCAGCATTTTCCCATTTGTGTGAGTGGTGACCTCTCCTCTCTTTGTGATTCTCACTTCTTACCATGCCTGTGAATGATTGCAAAAGAAGCTGTTGTGGCATTGCCAGAATGGGTAGGAAATGACACTTCTCCTTGCTAACTTGTAGGACTATCATAGCAGGATGGGGAGTACCTCCCTCAATTCTAACACCCAGCTAGGAAGATGATGATGATGATGGAGTTGGTGGTGGTGGTGATGATAGCAAACACTTATATGGCACCATGTACTAGGTACTCTTTTAAGTGGTTTACATGTATTCATTCTTTTAATCCTCACAATGTAATTATGAGTACATATTAGTATCCTTATTTTGTCGATGGACATCTAAGGCACAGAATGATTAAGTAACTTGCTCAAGGCCCCAAAATTAATAAATAAATGGCAAAGGCAGGATTTGAACCCAGGTGGCATGGCTCTTAGAGTCTCTTCTTTTAACTATCCCCATAGGCTGTCTCCTGTGACTGGGAAAATTAATTATGGATATCCACAATTAATTAGTAATTAATTAATTATCGAGCTTTCTTCTATCGTTCTTCAAGCAGAGGGAATCAGCCACCTTTTTCTTGCCTCACCAAGAGAGTATCGAGGTCAGATAGAAAAATAACACTCTGACTGCCTGACATAGCAAAGCTTGAGATTTATGACACTGTTACAAGAATTAACCTCTTTGAATTATAAGGTGGGTTGATTATAGCTTATTTTTGTATTAGAATGAAATCTTTAGAATTAGCTAAGAAAATTGTTTAGATTAGTGAATGAAGCCTACATTCACAACAGTTTCTTGGGTCAAAGCCTCAGGGGATGTTAGGCTGATTATATGAAATATAACATATAAGCTTGACGTATTTGTTAACCTATTTATGCAGTCAAACTCTTGTGAAGAGTTTGTTGAGACTAACAATTTGGTGATAGAATGAATAATTTAGGCAGATTTTAAAAATACATGTAGCATTCATGAACTTCTTAGATTGGTTTTGGAGTTGATCTGTTGGATGAAAGTGGGGTGAGAAGAAATGATGTGACATGAGAATTGAGTTGAAGCAGAGAGCTGAGTCTTACTCTTTGGGGAATCAAGGTCCCTTTTTAGAACAGAGTATTAGTGATTTGTTTAATTCCCAGAATATCCAAGCTCACAGATGTTACCTTATAATCCTTGTCTGATTGGAGCGGAGTGGTAGAGTGATCATACTGGTATTTTAACATGCATAGTAGCTGACATGGTTATCTATCTGAGGGCCTGGGCTGTCAGTATTTACACCTCTGTCCAGTTCTGCACTTTGCATACTGTGTTTTCTAGATCTGCAAAAATGTGAGACTAGGAGAGAAAAGAAGTTCTGACAAGATTTTAGTTGGATTAGCTTCCAGATAAGCCTGCTGTAGCTTGGAGGCTGAATACTAGTACTGTGAACAGAGGGTAGAAAATGGAGCAGCATCTACTAATTGTATCTCTCTCTCCCTTTCTCTCTGTCTCTCTTTCACTTACACACACATACACTTTCTTGAATTGTGGGGATAGACAGAAGGACAACCCTAGCAAAGGAACTTGGAGACAATGAAGTGATGTCTGAGCTCATTATTGCTAGTGCCCTTTACCTTGTCACCATCTGTACTCATTCTTTATCTTGTTTCACTCCCTCTTCTCATTCTTTTCCTGCCTCACTTTTAGAAAAAATAAACCTCGCAAAGATAAATAAACCATGATCCCAGACCTCAAGGCACTTGTACAGTGTTGCAGAAGACATTGCACCTAAATCCTTTTGTAACAAACATTTGTAGAGACAGGACTTCAAACTGGGGACCACTACAAGATAATGTATTATTAATTGCTAAGAAAAAGAGAGTATCCACTTTTTTCTTTCTTATGACCGTTTATTATTCCAATGAATTGAAATTAAGAGACACAATTGTTTTTCCCCTAAAATACATCCCCTCCCCAATATTCTGGTAGACCAAATTAGTGAGAAAACCATCCCAGTACTTCACTCATATGAAATTTGATATGACAGCTTTTGCTAGCTATTTTCTTCATCACATGAAGTTGAAGAAAGCTCATCTTGATCTTGGCCTAGATCCACAATCTCTTTAGTATTCCTTCACTAGTCCACATTGAGGGTATTGAAGCAGTGAGTGCTTTCTGCAAATATGTGCACAGTTCCACGAGCAGTCCTTACTGCCTCGATTTGGATTTGATGTCTTCATTTGCAGGAAGTCTTTGCCCTTATAAATGTGCCTGGGGCCCTTTGCTACAGTGGTTGGAGTGCTCTATTGCTAATGTTGTTTTGATAATGATTGAAGCATTTAAAAAAGTTGTTCTTTATTTTCAATCTTTGCATTGCCTCGTTTCCTAAATTTAATTTACTTAGATGTGCTTAGTAAAATGAGGCAGCACAATCACTTTTTGTTTCTGCTTAATTAATTCTTTCTGAAAAACTCCACTAAAAGTAGATTTTCCTTTCTCTTTTTCTTTTTCTTCTCCCCACCTTATAATAATTATGATGATAATAATAGTGAAGATTTATTAAGTGCCTACTATATGATGCTTACTTTTACATAATTATCTCATTTAATTTTACCAGTAGCCCTACGAGGTCTGTACTGTAATTATCTCCATTTTACAGACGAGGAAACTCATTGATGCCACAGCTTCTTCTGAGCCATCATATGACATGGCTTTGCTTGTTCTGAATGTACTTGAGGTAAAACAAAATTGAGAAGTTGAATTTGTGGTTCTTGTGAAGAAAAATGGAATAGAATTCTGAATTTTTCATCATCTCACTACCACCTCTATACCTTCAAACCTTGAGTTCTATTTTCTTTGTAGAATTTTATTATGATTTTCAGCCTTGTACTATCAAGAAATATTTGGGGTACATCCAGGTCTTTTCCAGATGTTGGATAATTCTAGTCTTCCCCAAGGTACCACTGACTTTGAGTGATAATAGACTCTTTTATATGCAGTAATACCTTGCTTTTTTTGGAAGTTGCCTATCCCACAACTTGAACTCTCTTCATCAGAAAGGAAAAATAGTGGTTAAGCAGGAAATCACCTCGTCTGAAAGGTTTTTGGGTCCTTGCTTAGAGCCTACTACTGTTCCATGTTTATGTGTAGTCTTCACACACTTGATTTTCTGGCTTTCTAGGGGGGGATCCAAGAACTCACTAAATGTGGCACTTGGGGACATTTAATAGAGGACCATACTCCTGCAGGCCACAGTGGCTCTTGTATTACATTAGGTCCAATGTTCACAGTGTGGTTACAAGTAAATAAGGAAAGTTCAACTTACATTCACTGTCCTTTTCTTAATATTTCCATTTTAAATGGCTAAAATGAATTTCCTCAGTGCTTAAGATCAGTGAAAGAAACACTGGACTTGGAGTCAGAAAATCTAAGTTCAAATTCTAGATCTGCATTTATGAGCTTTATGATTTGGGGCAGTTATTTAGATTCCAATAGCCTCAGTTTTCTTATCTGCAAAATGGACATAAAAATTGCAGTCCTGCTTACTTTTGTAAAGTAGAAATAATGAATGTGAAAGTATCTTGAAAACTGTAAAACACTATATGCATGCATTATCTAGACAGCTCATTTATGTGGACCGCTTCACCCCAGGTGGTGCCAAATAAATGATGCATTATCATTACAGACATTAACCTCGACAAGGCTGGAGTTCATGATGTACTTCAACAACTTTTGCCACTTATAGACGATATATATGCAAACAGCTCCAGTGTACAGACGAAAGAGTACTTAGGCAAAACACTCTTTGAGAAAAGGGTTTATTTTATGCACTCTTGGATGTGAAGCTGTATTGTTTGAAGTGTCAATACTGCCAGGAGTAATCCTTTTTTTCAGCTTCCTGAAGCTTCTCTTCTGGCTAGTATCTGGTGTATTTCATATACGAATAAGCGGCTAGATCAGGAAGGGTTTGTCGGTTCAGGCCATATTTTAATTGCATTTTTTGGTCCACACTGTTATGGCAGAGAGAAGGAAAAGGTTGGTATAAGTCTGGAGATCTTCAGTTGATCCTCACTCAGTATTGGCAAGCTTGCTTTCTTCTACCTGCTTTCTGTGGAGATGAAAAAGACATCTCTGAATGCGGGGGAGGGCAATGTTTCTGTGCTTCTTCTGTTGTTTCTCTCCCTTATTTTCTGTTTCCATCAGCTCTTGGCAGTTTTTAGACTCTCTTCTGTCAGATTCCTGTCTCTCCCACTCCCCCTAAATAAAATTGACCTTGGTTAGAATACCCTTTTCTGTCAGCTCATAGTAATTTCTCCAGTCATTTCTGCTTGAAATAACTGTTTAGGGACATTATTCAAGCAAAGCTTTTTTCCTTCACAGTTAATATGTGACTCAATAATTGCTTGAATGTTGATAAACATGTTTTTGAGATTCAATCATTTGCTAATTTAGTTTTTATTATGTAGTGGGGATTTTAAGTGAGTACTGAGCCGTTTTTCTCCATTTCACAATTCTTTCCCCCTGACTAGCCTGACAGTTCTGCCCACACTCCAGCTCTGTGCAGGCTGA